GCATTTTTTTCCCACCAAATGTGTATATTGATATACATACACATAAAATATTCCTGTGTTACACTGTCATTATATCACTTTCATAAACTATTAACTGACAGAACTTTTTTTTCAAGTATTACAGTTGCATTGATTTTGATTTTGAAAATATACATTCAACTATCCATTGCTTCTATGGAAAAGGACGGGTAACTCTTAGCACCAACCATTAGAGCATTAACGTCAACCGTAAAAGGAAACATCACTGACCTGGGGCAAGGGCAGGCGAAGGGGAAGATAAAGGGTAAAGAATATTATCTGGGGAAAGAGTCCAACTCTAGAGATTTAACTAGTTCTCATATAGTCTGCATAATGGTATCTGCAACTCAAAGGTAATGTATCTGATTACAGTTATACTAGGGGGAAATAGGACAGAGTTAATGAATCATTTTGTTATTTTGGGAGATTTTACATTTGTAGTTGCTTGCATTACTAACAAGTAACTTTTAGACACCAAATAATATGTCTATGACTTCATTTGTGTGTTTACTGAATACTTACTATAACTAGGAAGTATTGAATGTCACTGTTTGGAGTGCTTGGTAACTATCATCTCACTTAGTCTTTACAATCTAATTTCATCCATGAGGTAGGTACTATAGATGAGGAAAATGAGATGTCAAAATTTCAGTAACAATCCTGAGGTCACACACGTAAAAAATGATAGTTTTGAATGCATAAACCATAATCTTAATCATTAAAAGCCTCTATGAGGCTTCTGCAATGGATCTAACACCTGGGTGTCAGTGCTGCTGGTTCATAGACCACACTTTAAATATCATGGCAGTAGACCATGTGAAGTGTCCATTTACATACTATTTTACCTGAAGCCAAAACTACATTTCAAGGACAAGTTGGTTCATACTTGGTTCTGTGATATTAATAACAACTGAAATATCTGATATGTCAGCCTCATAGAATTGCTATGAGATTTTCTGGGCCTCGCTAATAAATTTAGACTGAAGTAATGTTCAGAAATTATGTGAGATAACTTTATGAAATGTAGTTTAACATATAATGGTCAACAGTGTTTTGCAGTTATAACACAATTCTTCTTAAATATTGAGTATTTTGTCTTCACAATATACCTAAGTGATAAAGTATAATCACATTCTTCTTAAATATTGAGTATTTTGTCTTCACAATACACCTAAGTGATAAAGTATAATCACTAATACTGAGGAAACAGAAACCCAAGACAAGTGGCTACCACCACAGGTCACTTAGGCAGCAGGACAACACACATCCAGGCCTTCCCATGCCAAATCCAAATCTTTTCTTCTCTTCCATTAGCTGACCTTGACAATGGAGTGTATTCCACTAATTAACTAAAACTAAATAAAGAAAACTGCTACTCAGCTACTGAAACAGCTAAGATAGCCACATTCTGATTTTGATTTTAATAAATAGATAATCAAGGCCAAAGTGATTTGACAACATTGAGTAATTTTCAGTTGTTTTACATTAACATAAACCTTATTGAATACGAAACATGGCTGCATGTATCGTTTTATTACGCTGCTAAAAGCAAAATACAATTCAAGGACTTTTTTTTAGTCTTATCGACTCCCTTAACCCAAGGTCACCTATGGGAGATGTATCATTTATATCCCAGATCTGTAGGTTTGGTGTTAGCTGTAGGAGATTGGTCATTTCACCTCTTACATTTATTTTAATGGAACTAAATATGTTACAAATACTGTCTTCCTCATATAAGGATGTTCTAAAATTTTATAAAATCATACTCAGAGTTCAGAGTTGATCTCTAGATGTGAAGTGTACTTAGCATCTTTAGAGGGCTAATATTTTCATGGAAAACAAAATTCCTCTAAGTTACTGTAGAGACAAAGTAATGAAGACAAATCAAGAAATGCTGTCAGTCTCTAGAAGATGAAAATGCCAGAATCTCTACGTGAGAAACAAAACCTCAAAATAGGCCAGGCGCGGTGGCTCAAGCCTGTAATCCCAGCACTTTGGGAGGCCGAGACGGGCGGATCACGAGGTCAGGAGATCGAGACCATCCTGGCTAACACAGTGAAACCCCTTCTCTACTAAAAAATATAAAAAACTAGCCGGGTGAGGTGGCGGGCGGCTGTAGTCCCAGCTACTCGGGAGGCTGAGGCAGGAGAATGGCGTAAACCCGGGAGGCGGAGCTTGCAGTGAGCTGAGATCCGGCCACTGCACTCCAGCCCGGGCGACAGAGCGAGACTCTGTCTCAAAAAAAAAAAAAACAAAAACCTCAAAATAGACAGCAAAGATGCTTATCAAGTCCAAGCCCTATAATCATGTTTTATGATTTATAATGTTATTTTTCTGACAATTGGCAAAATAGCTCCATTCTTGAAAGAAATGCCTAACAGGCACTTCATCCTCACTGTGTTCACCTGATAAAGTTTGAAATGATTTTAATAATAATGAATTTATTTTGGAAAATTATATTTTCTCTTCAAGTGTACACATACCTCTAAAACTAAAGACTGGGTTTTTCAGAGCCATACAAACACTGTAAAGGCTATGGGATCATCAAGTTGTACTGAATAAACTGTGCAAGAGGCTCTCCATGGGAGTTGAGAACTGTGGTGCTCCAATCATGCTGAGCAGGAAACCCTAATATCCCCCTCATTACATGATAGTGGGTGGTTACAATGGTGAGTGTTCCTGGATGACCAATCCCTTCAGCCCCTAACATGGGTTAATTATTTCATATTACCCGTCAGGATTAGTAAAGCAAGCATCACAGTATCTGGTTAATTATTAAAATAAAAAAAAGGTCAGGTAGAGAATCATCAATGACTAATAGTTTTCTCCTCTCGTTATGTTTTGCTGGTGTCTATTTCAGAAGACACGGATGGCATAAAAGTGAGTAGATAATATGGTTTCTGCATCCTTCTCTCACTTGTCATTGGCCGTTGCTTCCAGACATGCTAGTCTTTCTATCCTCAGTTCCTCAAAGGCATCAAGCTCCTCTCAGCTCTTGACCTTTAGACTTAGGGGTCCCTCTGCCCACAATAAACAGCCTCAACCTTACTCCTGGGTTTGCTAGTGATCTATGTTTTTATAGTGATACATTTCCTTCAGACCACTTGCAATGAGCAATCCATCTAACTCATTTAATGTCTGACTTTTCTACTAAACAATAACAATGTCAGAATGGGGTTTTGCTTATTCACCATTGTATTCTTATCACTGTTCACAGTGCTTGGCCCCCAGTAGTTCAATATTTGTTGAATAATGGTTCATGAGCAAGAATGTAGACTCCTGAGGCATTGCACATGTTTACGTCCCTTGAAATAACTAGTGAATAACACCTTTGCATATGAAGGCTATTAATATGTGGTGAATTCTTAAATTTAAAATATTTTGCAGGAAGAAATAGAGAAACGTCCAGATGGGATTGTGAATAAATTCAATCCTAATTAAAAAAAATCTTCTCCAGTGAGAATATACATAAGTTTGACCTTTTGATTAAGTGTCGTGAGTAAAGTATTTATGGGCTATGACTTGTATGGATTTATTACCTAGCTTCAGGAGCTGAATTCTTGATTTCCCTCTGCATATATGTATTAGAACAGTAAAACACATAGGGATGGCTACTTTTAATTTTATAGGTCATTCAGAAATTGCATCTTATAGAAAGTAAAGATTTCTTAGAGTTTTGGTTATTCACCACTGCAATTTGGAATGTTTGGTGTAATTTTAAAATTCCTAAGTTTTTGCCCCTTTCTTCTATTCCTCCTTTTGACCACTGAAGCATTGCTGCATGGATTTGTGATATTTAAATAATGAGAAATGAGAGGCAAGGTACTTTTATTTAATACTTTTTATTATTTAATAACTTAAGTTTATCACCTGGAAAACTGCAATATATCAGTAACAATCAACATTCAGGTAAAACATCACCACACATTCTTCTCTTCAACAAATAAATGCTAACTTGTGGTTCAAAGTCAAAAGATGTAATTTCTGAGAAGGCATGTTTAAATTCATCATCTAGGGATATTCTGGAAATATGCTATGGATGGAACTTTTATCAACTGTCCAGGAAGAAATGTATTATTACTTCCTTAAAATATTTGAACAAAAGCTATTATTTTGAATGATGTATTCTCCATAAGTAATTGCTGTTTAGACATCAGAACCCAGCTCACACAGACTCACGCTTACACATCTTTTACTCTCCTTTATAACAAAGACAAATTGAAAAATAAAATAAGATATTCCACCCCCAAAAGGTCAATAATCTTTTTCTGTAAAAAAATCCATTCTGCAAAACATTTTTTATGGCTCCTCAGAACTTAGGATAAAGACCCTATCCAATAAAGAGGCTTCAAAACCTAAGCTATGTTCCATTGTTTGCAGTTACCTTGGACTTTAACTAGATGTGCAAGTTGACTTCTGACCATGGGGAATCCTCTCCATGACTGGATTATGGATTGTTGAGGCCATGGCAGATAACCAGTTCCACAGAAGCAACTTCATGTTTTTCTGAGGAAGATCCATAGCACTGTGGAACAAGGAATATCAATAAGCGATGCCACAAGAGACTGCAAATGGGGTTAACAAAATACAACCCTCAAAAATGAACTCTGATGGTGGAAAAATCTACAAGGTAAAATATTGTTGAAAAAAAATACAGGGATTGAAAATGGCTTCAGTTATGTTAAGAGCACTGGTGAACATTCAGTAGCGTTAGAATGTGCTTTCTTATGCATGTAACAAACTATCTCTTCATGCCAAGCTCATTAAGTGGCTAAGTTGTATAAATTTGTTCAAAAACAAATGCTTTTTCAGCATTTATAGATTTAAAAAAACAACAGCAACTCTGTTTTCTAAAGGGGAAAACCCCAAGTGAAAATATTCTAATGGTAGTAATAAAATACTTGGCCTTTAATCAGTTCCAGTAAAATTATATTTGAAAGCTCCCCCACCACCACCCATAGTCATACACATACGCATCAAATTTTAAGCATTTTATAATGGCCAAAGAAGGTGTTTACATCTGTTTATTAATGGAACTCACTTTTTAATCAGTTTTTAATAAATTGCTAATCCAGTTTAGCCTCAAATCAGTTCCATCCCTTTCCTCAATCCCTTTTCTGATGTCTAACAGTTAAAGTCCTGTGCAGTGAACAGGGATTCCTGTGGCACTTTGGGAATTATCTGCTCTGGGTTTAAAAAAGTGCAGCTTATAAAGTTCTCTCTCTTTTCTTCAGCCTCTACGAAGATTGATAAAGGCATTTCCAGAGGCAAATGAAATTCTTCCCCTCTCTGCTCGTTCTCCTCCAGGACCTCCTCTTCCCCTTCCACCTCCTCCTCTTCCTCCTCCTCCTCCTCCTCCTCCACATATTCAGCCTCTTCGACCTCTTCCTCCTCCTCATCTTCGACCTCTTCCTCTTCCTCATCTTCGACCTCTTCTTCCTCATCTTCGACCTCTTCTTC